AGAATAGAGAAAAAAAAATCCAACTACAATATTGATTGTTCACCATAATTTCCCATTTGCGAGGAATAAAACTCAAAGTCGTCTCCACAATTTAATGTCACCATCGGATGTTAGTGCGGTGAAACCATCAATTAGAACATGTTTCGAACCTACATAGGTTCATCATTAGTTAATATTCAAACTTCTGGAGAAAAAATATGTTTTATTTTATAATGGAAAAGAAAAGGAATTATCACTTGTTGTTAATGAAAGAAATAGTCTCAATGATATATTAATATAAATTATTTTTTTATGCTTGAAGTATTTGATGTTAATGAGTGGGTATCAAGGCTTCAAGCTGCCCAGAGTACAATTATTGAGAAATATGATGTGATAAATTTCTCCATTCTCTAACATAAAAAAAAAATTCAATAATATTAATATGTCATTGTAACCATTCCTTTCATTAATGACATGTGATAGTTCATTTTCTTTTCTATTACGAAATAAAAAATGTTTTCTTCCCCAGAAGTTCAAATATTAGCTGATGATGAACCTATATAGGTTCGAAACATGTTCTAATTGATGGTTTAACCGCACTAACATACGATGGTGACATTAAATTGTGGAGACCACTTTGAGTTTCATTCCTCGCAAATATACTGCACTCAATTTTGAAATACAATGGACTTTTACCAGAGGTTGATAATTTCCCTTGATGGAAAACTCACATTTTCAATACATACTGATACTATTCTCACATATACATATGTATTTAAGAGTAATAATACCATAAATTCTTTCATATTCGTTCTTCATTCTTCACCAGCCATATTATATATAAGCTGTGTTATTGCTTCTAACACTTTCAATAATTAACAAGTTATTTACCACTCATTGAGTTTATATATACATTTCTTGATTGGAATTTAAATAGTTATTTTTATATTGTAACTTATACATGTATATACATTTTACATATAAATTAATTTGAGATTTTCCAATCCAAATTTCCACCACTAATATTACTCTGAATGTTTATATTGTTATATTACTTTATATAAGCCTTATATATGTATGTCTATTCACACACAATAAGTACTGCTTCCGTGGTATTACTTTATTTACAATCTGAACCCTTATTTTGCTGTGAATAAATTATTATTATTATTATATGCTGTGAATACCTCGATAATTAGCCGTACCATGTCCTTGGTCGGAACCATTGTGTATAAAGATGCCTCGCCGAAGGTCAATAGTATGTTATGAATGCTTCTTTCTGATTCATTTATTTTTTTTAAATCAATTTTGGCAGCTGCTGTCACCAGATGCAGATTTCTTCACATCAAAATTTGGATGTTGGGTACTTCCGAAAATGCTGTAGTGTTCGTGCCCATCGCACGAAGACCGGTCTTTTTGAAATCTGATCATTTGGTATTCCCACTTATATTCTCTCTCATTATGTGGTTCCAGAACTGAATTTCAATCTCAATTAAAATGATTTTCATTCACTATTCTCTTCCCGATAGATTGACAAAAAATCTCTTATTTGTTTTTGTTCCCTTAACTTCATCTTACTCTACGAGGATGGTTTTTTTCTCAGTCCAGAAAATAAAAGTCCAAGGTTTCAAATATAAAATATAATAACCAGAAAACGACTCTATGGACAAAATGATAAAAAACAATGTGTGAAATGTTACATAAAATAAAATGTTAAATTATCTAAAATAAAAGAAATTAGAACAAAGGAAATGCCGCCAATTTTACCATGCTATTTACTGTTAATTCAACTGTTGAACTACTACATACGCACCAACACAGTACAAAATACTTTTAGAGTTTTATTGTCAATTCAGGGAGAGTGGTGTATCACTTTGAGTGTTCGCCCTTTTTTGTAATTGAATTATGAACTCTAGCTAAACACTGAGCACTAGGAACCCAACAATATATAACCTCTTTGCAAATAGGAAGTGGACTCAGACAAAATAATATATGAACTCTCTCTCAATATCAACTGGTTGATGAGGAAACAAACACTCATATAACGCCTCTTTGGGTGATTCATGGTCAACCATAGGTTCCGTTGACTCGGTGTGTCTTCAACACCAACACTTTGATTTCAAACTCCCCTGTATCCATTACCGGTTTATGATTTTACTACCGATTTTTCTTAAAATTCGCACCACGCACTCACAAATAAAATAACTCCCCTATTCAGGCCACCTCCCTCAACCTTCGAGGTTGAGGGATGAGACCCCCCGACCTCGTCTCAACGGGGTCCGGTGACTGACATAACAGCGTTTTTATTCCTTCTCAAGCATATGATCATCGACAGGATGTAATATATTAATTTTTTTAGTCTAACCCAACTTGTACATGACCACAACGACGCTCAAAGATCCGACAGTCATAAAGTAGTTCAGCGCTTTTTCATCTGGAAAAATATCGACACCAAAGAAACGGGTGATCAACCTCGATATCTATGAATGAAATGATATTTCACGGTAACCATCGAATTGGCAGTTATTACAAGTATGTATCCATGTTGTGGAATTGGCCGCGGTGGTACTGCTCCCGACTCACGATCGGAAGACCGTGGGTTCGATTCCCGCCTTGGCCAGATATTTTTCTCGAGAGAATGTATCTGTTAGGAATCACACGTTAAAAGGTAAGACCTCGTTAGTCCTTAGCTCGCACAAGTTCTCAACTTCTAAGAGTTGTCGTTCGTATGGGGGCGACAGCTGATTAACGGAAAAACAGATTTTTTTTAGACAGAACCTATCTTCATGTCTCCACTCTTTTCGATAAAGTGTCCCGAGTATATGGTAAATGACTGTGTATTTTCTATAAATGACATTGAAAGATTCCTAACAACACACACGTAATGTGTGCGTCTCTTGGAGACGCCAAATTGGTTGGTGAATCCCGCGTTGAGGAGAGTGATGCAGCTCTTGTGTTTGTAGAAAGTACTCGTTTGAGATTTATTTCACGCTAGCGGTTCTAGTTGCACCTCTCATGTAGCAAAACATTTTCTATTCATGCTGATATTTCCAGAATGCCAGCATGCTGTGCATCAAAATTGATGTTCATAACTCATTAATTTCCATCGAAGTAGGTAATTTCCCATTCTCAATATTAAATTTCAATCGGAAAAACGATTTCCTTCGATAACACGAAATCATTTGTTGAAAACTTCGTTCTCGGGTAAAAACTAACTCGATGAATAAAACGGTAATGTCCCATTCAGAACATCTTCAATTTACATTCGCCAGAAAACCGAGTCGACCCACCACGCCACAGGCATAATAGCCCTTCCGTTTTTTTTCCGGGAAAAACCTTTTCATTCATTCCCTTACATAAATTAGCCATTGACTGCTTGCTTTTCGGCTGGCTGCTCTTGAAGGGATACGGACTGAGCATCCCCCAAAGATAAACGAATCAATGGAACATACTACTGCTAAATGTTACGTCTTCAAATGGCGTGAAATTACTAAAAATCGATTGGGAAGCATTAAAGGCCGATGTAGTGTCTCTAAAGTAGAGATCCGTCGAAGATGGATACTTCGAATCGTTCACACGTGGTTTGACTAGCCAAAGTGCTAACATTTTAGATAGAAAGCTCACTGGTGAGAGGTGATCATTTTTTCTGACACCAACCACAATTTCGGTGACATAAGAAAGGTATTTCTTTCATTCAAAAAGTCATAGTGAATTTTTTTAAACAAAATATTCGATAACACAGGTCTGTAAAATAATCTTTTCAAAAAATTGTTTTGATTTCGTTACCTGATCTTCATGTAGTTTTTTGAGCTGTTTTCAAAAATGACATTTGTTCTTATCTATCACGTAAGATTTGCCTACAAAATAAGGATGAAGTAATTGAAAAAATACATTGAAACGAGGAATTGTGGATTTATTTTTATCAGTTTAATATTGAAGTAAAAGAAAAAAAAATGCTACATAACTAAACTAAGCATAATGGTGATACACAAGTATTCACAAAATGATCATAAGTATTTTAAAAACGTTTTCTTTCTCCGTCAAAGCTTCTCTTGGTACTTTTTCGGCTGTGTTCTTGTGAATTTTCCCTTTTTAACATCCAACAGTAGTCTGCCATCATGTTAACATTCCACCGACCTTGGTATCAGCCATTTTTTTTTATGTCTTGATGGAACCGTTCTCCTTGTTCCTCACTTAGAGGGCGTCCTAATGAGACCGGTTCGAATGGAGACCTGTTTTGAATATTTTCAATTGAATTCCTTCGAAAGTCGGGAGTTGAACTGCGTCCTTGCCTCCGGAAACTCAAGAGCTGAGCAGTACTACTAAATATTAAGAGTACTAGGTTTTACCTGCGGCTTCGCTCGCATTTATGCCATTAATTAAGAATCAGTACCTACAATAGAAATGAATCAATATGAGAACTATATTTCAATGCTTGGCTGGGATTATCAATTTTTTTAAATTATTACATACGATGAAGTTTCGAAAATTTAAAATATGCTTTATTGAATTGCAACAACAACTGTTGAAATACATTTCACTGTAACAAAAATAAATAATTTTCAATTCCCACAATTTAGGAAGATAAAATATAGATTATTATTTCAGGATGTTTTTGTGGACTATGTTATAAGTTTTTCCTAACCAAACCTAACCTTACCTAACCTAACCTAACCGAGCCTAACCTAACCTAACCTAACCTAACATAACCTGACTTAACCTAACAAACAGCTGGAACTATAGTCAATTGAATGAATTGGATTGGATATTGTTGTAACTAGGTTCGTTCCAACCAGCGTCAGAAACAGTTTCTGACATTCAGGATTCTGCGCAGTAATGTGATTGTGTTCCAACATGAGTTTCCACCCATTAGTAAACTATCAGTTTTCTGTTCCATCCAAGATTCAAACCTGTTCGAAATCTATCAGAATGGTTTGAGGATTATCTTCTAACCATCAATCTGACGCATGCGTATTCCGTATTACTGTTTTTGTTTTATGTTCATGCAACTTGCAAACAACATAACCTGCAAAAATTGTTATAAAGTTAATTGTATTTTTGTTATTTGACTTTGAACATTCAATAAAATATGAGTGAAAAAGGATATAGCGAGGTGAGTGACATATCGTCAATGACAAGTAGCGATGACGATGATGTAGAACTGATGTTAGATCTACACGAGCAGAGAATTAAAAACAAAAATTATTTAGGTAAGCTGGTATTTTTTGCACTTGAGTAATATGGATCATATTGTGTTGATATTTTTCAGAAGAAATAGTGCCACAGTATTCCGAGGAAGTGTTTTTTGAACATTTTAGACTGACAAGGCAAACTGCTGGCCAATTGGGCGAAAGGTTTGAAATGAGCCCGAATTTTAATAGTCAAGTGGGACAATATAGGAACATACTAGCTTTGCAACAAGTATGATGAAACTATTGGTGTTTGGTATTTTCTTCATGAAAACTTTAATTTCAGGTTCTCATTTATTTATGGTACATAGGGCACCAGACTTCCAGTTTTCGAGACGTTGCTGATAGATTTGGTGTGACAATAAGTTCTATACATAGAATTATTCATAGAATCACTATGTTTTTGAGTAATCTCTCTCCAGAAATAATAAAATGGCCAAACGAAAATGAAAAACAAATTATTAAAGAGCACTTCTTCGCAAATGGATTTCCAAATGTAATTGGAGCCATTGATGGCACTCACATTAAAGTGGATAAACCAGAAAATGATCCAGACTCCTACATCAATAGGAAAGGATACTATTCTATACAGGTAGGTTCATATTATTTTTTATATCATAAACTTCATAATAAAATACTACCACCTGAAGAATAATAATTGTTTCACTTCAGATGCAAGCTGTTTGTGATCATCGAAGGAAAATAATAGATGTTTTCATTGGATACCCTGGTTCGGTGCATGATAGCAGAGTATTCAGAAACTCTCCATTGAAAAACAGACTGGAAGAGAAATGTGGCAGATATTATCTTTTGGGAGATAGTGGTTATCCTCTGCTTCCTAATTTATTAACCCCTTATAAAGATAGGGGCAACTTAACTAGACGACAGCAAAATTATAATTTAAAGTTATCAAAAAATCGATATGTCATAGAACATAAAAAGGGAAAATGATGAATCTGTTGGAATCTATGGAAATAAACAGGTCAAAGAAAGATCCCAAAACCTACATTATATTGAAAGCTTTGTTATGTTCATGGATTTTACAGGTATATGAAACGCAGGTACCGGATATCAGGTATATCAGATATATCAGGTATATCAAATCATTTATGCTAGAACAATATACGTATAAATTACTCGAATTTAAATGTAATCAGTTAGTTTTGAAAATGGTATAATAGCCGAAACCGGTCAACAATAAAGAAATATAGTGGAAAGTGTGTTTTTGTAGTGTATCCTCAGTGATCAGAAACCAATATTTAACAGACATGCGCGTTGACAACGATTTACAAACAGTTGGAAATCTGTTTGTGACTCAAGGTTGGAACGAACCTAATGTGAATAATACAGTGTATCGGTATTACCGTACTATGGGTTGAAACTCCATTACTGGAATGCTAGATGACGTTGAAGTAGCTAGATTTTGAGATTTTTTTGACAAACAATTTTTTCGGTTGAGTAGTTTTCGCGTGAAACCGCAACAAACAAACTTACATTCGCATTTATAATATTAAGTAGGGATATAATATTAGTAGGGATAGGGATATCATAGTATTTCCAATATCAGTTTCATACACTATTTTCCCCTCTTCATCAACATTTTTTGAAGAAAAATAACTATCCCCGTTCAACGAATATTCAGTTATTCACATGAACACGGTTATGAATTTAATAAATTATAGTGAACTACCCATTCCACCTAGTGGAATGGATTATTAAATTCCCAACAGACAGTACCTCCCAAAACATAATTTCGATATCAAGGTTGGTGTCGTGTTGTGTATGTTGCCGTCATGCATTTCAATAAATAACGCAGATAAATAATTGGGAATCTATTTGTCGACAAACTACTATAAATTGATTCAATCGTGGTTGCTATGGAATCCTTCATAGGGTTTCACAACAATAAACAACTCCAAATGCTGAATCTTGCAAGATTTGATGGATGTTGAATTTCACTAGTTCGGACTTCCATTGTCTACTATATAAAATGATTTGAAACCTCTGAAACAACTAAAAAAGAAGAATTGAAAATGAATAGCTGAAAATAACAATTATATTAACCAAAATAAACCTGAAATGAAATAATAGTGAAATAAAATACAAGTTAAAAAGGAACAATAAATAAAAATAAAGTCGTTAGTTCACGACGTTTCGATTGTTAGTATCTAAATGATGTCTAGTTCTTTCTCGAGACCTTCTTTCGTATTACAGAGCCCAAAAGCACGGTCTAATAGAGTCTTGATGATTCCTCTTTTAGTCGATTGATGGTGGTTGGATTCGTGGTTCAGATACTGTCCCGTATGAGTGGGTTTTCGGTATACAGATGTTTCCTACTTAGTGTCGGTCCTTTTCAACAAAACGTCTAAGAAAAGCAATTCGTTATGGATTCCCTTCTCCATTGTGAAATTGATGGAAGGTCTCAAGCTGTTGATGTGTTTCAGGAAGGCGTCTAGTTCAGTATTCCCATGGTTCCATATTATGAATGTGTCGTCAACATATCAACCAAACTCGAGGTTTCTTGTGGGCTTCTTCAATGGCCAGAGTTTCAAACCACTCCATATATATGTTGGCTATGACTGGTGAAAGTGGCGATCCCATTAGCAGTCCCTCATCTTGTGTAAAGAATTCGTCCTTCAGTTGGAAATAACAGTTTCGTACACAGCATCCTAGTAATTCGATGATTACTTCTATAGGTAGATTCGTTCTCTTTTTCAGGTTCCCGTCTTCGGATAGCTTACTCTGTATGATTTGGAGTGCTTCTTCGACAGGAACGTTGGTGTAAAGGCTTTCCACGTCGAAACTAATCAGTTGATCTTCCTGTGTGACCTCAATTGACCCTAGTTCGACAAAATGCCTTTAATTTATTCAATTGTTCTATTTTTGCTTGTATTTTATTTCACTATTATTTCATTTCAGGTTTATTTTGGTTAATATAATTGTTATTTTCAGCAATTCATTTTCAATTCTTCTTTTTTAGTTGTTTCAGAGATTTCATATCATTTTATATAGTAGACAATGGAAGTCCGAACTAGTGAAATTCATCATGAAACATTGTCAATCACCTTCAAACAAACGTTGATGGATGTTGTGCTGCTCAAACGGTTGATATATTCAGAGTTCGACATAATCACAGTGGAAGACATCGATGGGTTATAGAGTGAACTGACTGAATATCAATGTGTATATTACATACCCTCTTTCCTTTTCAAAAAATTTAGTTTGGCTTTGGAGAGTAGGACGGATGAGGTCAAGAAAACATATTGTATGCCATGACATAGCTCAATTGACAGGTTTGTTCTGGTTCTAACATCCGAAACAGTTTGGAAACTGCGTAAGACATGATGCATACAAGCAAAAAATCTCAAACAGTGCAAAATAGTCTCGGACACTTGGTTAAGCCAGAACACATTTTGAGCAGACCACTATGCCACCTATCGTATATATGAAAAGATGAAGACGAGAAAATACTGTTCATCATGTCCATTTTGTTATGTGGCGTATCCTTATAGTCAGTTCAAAAGTTATCTAACCTCAATCATGAATTATTTGAATCGAATAAATAAAGAAACATCCTAGAAAATAACCCAAACAAATTTCCACATGAATGCGCATAAGCAACGGGAACAGTTCTCAACAGTTCAGCCGGGAGAGCAAGAACGATTCGGGACGGTTCAAGACAGTTTAGGACCATTTCGCAGTCAAAACTAGAACAGGGGATTCATCAATCCGAACCTTTCCTCAATAAACCAGAACGCTCTATATCAACTGCGCATGATCCTGACGTTCTAGAACCAGAACAAACCTGTTATATAGCTACTTCGAAGGATCTCCCTGTTTTTGTATCTAGTCATAAAGTGAATTTACGGAGGTATTTGAAACGGAATGATTTTGTTGGAGTATCGTGTATATTCATATATAGGTTTTTCTTCATATCTCAATGTGAATAGAGTATTGTTCTCAGTATGAAGCTCCGCCGCCAAACATACCCTGAAGGTGCTGGACTCCGGAACAGATCCAGGATATCCTAGAGGAATACCCACTGGGAACCAGATAGCGGACAGCTACGTCCTGGAAGGAGCTGAAATCGGAAGCCATTTACCCCCGGCCTTAAAACCTGTACCCATATTCCGATGACCACTGCAACTGACCCGGACCACTCTAACGGAACAACGAAAAAACAAGAAAAACAAGAAGAACACATGACAACATAAGACAACACAACATTAGGCATCATTACACAAGGCAACACTCACAATCCACTAACCCTGAAGAGCCTATAGCAGGTCCCTACACAAAATACACTATAACAAATATTTTGTAATTCATCCAAAAGCTTGAATAAACATTTTTGACTTGACTTTTGCTGCTGGATTCCGTCCAGGAAAGAGTCATCCGCCTGATGGGACACGGGAACATCACTTGCAACTTTGATAGTCTGAAACATCGAAGAAAGGTTGGAGATTTGTCTTTCTCTAGATACTTTCAAGTGACTTGGCACACTTGATTCATATCAGAAATACGCGACGGACTGTGACTGCTCATCGTTATGAGGTTTAGCTCAGTACACCTCCATTTGGAGAACGGCGTTTATGTGGAATGAATTTCCTGAGAACTTTTTTCCAAATGGATTTAATCTTCAGCGATTCGAATCCAATGTGAATCATTACTTTCGCACAGGCACCACTTTGAAAGCGCCGCAAGGACTTTCCTGTAGTGCTTGTGTTTTGTCTTTAAAAAAACAGAATGTAAAATTCCGTATCATTTGTTTTTGAGTCGAAAATGCAACTATGGAATTCAAATTTCGTTTTTGAAAACGAAATCACGAGTTTCAGGTAAAAATCATAAATTTCGAATTCAAAAAGGAGTTAAGTATTAGAATGAAGTCTAAATTTTGAGATTGAACTAGAGATTATTAGTTCAAAATCGAAATGATGGATTCAGAGTCGAAACTTTTTATGTGAACTCAAGACGGATACCCTCCGAACTAACAGAAATACAATACATTTTTTCCAATTTATTTTTGTTTTTCAATAAAGTCTACTTTCGACTCCACGCATTTCCCCCAGTGACGCTGCCATCTCTGTAGCCCGTCCAAATATTACTCAGCGTTTTTCTCTGCAAAATAATTGTTCACGAAGGTTTCAAAAAGAAACAAATGGGACACCTCAAGGCAGTGTACTCGGTCCACTAATTTTACTGTTATATGTGAATGATATACCTAATAATATAATTAATAGTGCGATATACCGTTACGCAGACGACACTTCCATTATTCTTTCGAGTGAAACAACGGAAGAAATGCATAACCTTGTAAACTCAGTCCAATACGAATTTGATGACTGGTGTAACAGGAATAGACTTATAGTCAACTTGAGATAAATTGTCTGCATGGAATTTGCAAATTCATCTCGAAGCCTACATGATTGCAATTTTATTTTGCGGAATGAATCCTTGGCATTGACAAGCTCAACAAAATTCTTAGAAACAATAATGGACTCACATTTCACTTGGCGAGAACATATAGAGTTCACATCCAAGAAATTGAATCAATCGTATTATCTCATTAAATCCCTTAAGAATTGATTAGATACTAAAGCACTGATATTAGTTTATTTTGCCAAGTTTCAGTCCATTATTTACAACAACATTGCTGTCTGGGGTTTAGCAAGTGAGGTAGCCAGAATTTTCATAAAAGAGAAAGCATTACTGAGGCTTATTTTCAATCTAGATTACACGACGTCATGTAAAGGGATTTTTCGTCAAAATAAAATACTGATTGTTGCCTGTTTGTTCATTCTAAAAACATTGATGTATATCCATGAAAATAGAAGACAACTAGAGTCGAGATCGGAAGTCCATAATTATCATACTAGGAATAAGCATCCAGTGTTCTCAAAGTATGCGCCGCGGCGCCCTGGGGCGCCGTGGGCAACAGGTGAGTCTCAAGG